AGGAGCCTGAGAAGGAGGCACTCAGCCCCCTGATGGGGAGGAGGGTTTGCAGTGTCATTGGATCCTGGCCCTTCTCCTCTGGGCCCCATGGCCTGGAATGGATCGCCCGAGCAGAACTGATTTTTTTTTTTTTTTTTTTAGCTCTGTTGGGTCTTAGTTTCTGCATGTCGGATCTTTGTTACGGTGCGGGGGCTTCTCTTGTGGCACACAGGCTCAGTAGTTGCATGACGGCTCAGTTGCTCCATGGAATGTGGGATCAAACCGGCATCCCCTGCATTGGCGGGTGGATTCTTAATCACTGGACTTCCAGAGAGGTCCCACAGAACCCATTTCTCAAGCATCGACACGTGTCCGACACAGCAGAATTCCCAGCCACGCTCTCACCCTCAGGGACCGGGGTCAATGCAGGGGACAGATCAAGAAATGGGATACGATAGAGAACAGGGAGGGTGACATTTAATCTAAGAAAATGTGTGCTGGCCTGAGTGCACAGTCCCCGTCTCCTGCGAGGCACCTTACAGCAGTAGTACCCCACTCCAGGGAACCGAGTAGTGTGAGGGTGGGAGCCCCATGTCCTCAACGTGCCACCACCAGCCCTGTTGAGAGCCTGTCTGTGCCCCTTCCTGGCCTCAGAAGAAAGCATCTAGAGGAGAGGAGCCAGGGTGGGGCCCCCTCATTACAGGTTAGTCATCCAAGCTGCATCCCCCTGCCTGTAGACCATCATCTCACATGGGCTTGGGAGTGCCAGCCCTCCAGGTGGGCACAGACTTGGGCCACACAGGCCCAGAGCAGGGTCCTCACCCTGCCGCCTCTTAGCTGACCCACCCAGCAGCACCCCCTTAGAGACACACTCAGCTGTAGGCACCCTCCTCTGCTACCTAGGTAACCGCTGTACTTCTCACCCTCTGGGGATGTCGCCCTGCCCCACCCCCACTGCAAACCTGGGATGTTGTCCAGGGTATAAGAAGTGTTCAGCAAATGGACGCAAGTGTTCCTGTCCTCAAACAGTTCCCATGCAGAAAGGGAAGAGGCTTGTCCACCGTGGAGCTGGAAGAATGTTCTAGCAAAGAGCAGATCATGTTGAGGGCACCTAGTCTGTCCTTCCCAAAAATGGAATCCCCAAGTAGATTCTTAGGGTATGGAGGACACGTAGCCACAGGCTGATCTGTCTCCCGACCTTTCTTCGCAGGCCCCAGGGCAAGTCCTACCTGTACTTCACACAGTTCAAGGCAGAGGTGCGGGGCGCCGAGATCGAGTACGGCATGGCCTACGTGAGTGTCGCCCAGACTGGGGGCTGCCTGGCTGGCCCACCATGGACTGTGCCTTGAAGACCCCCAGATTGGGGGTGGGGAGGTGGCAATAATGAGGAGATGGATACCAGGCCCTTAGAAGGAGGCCTGGGGGTCGCAGGTTGCAGTACCCAGAGGGGATCCCAGTTGGCCCCTAGAGACTGGTCTTCCTCCAGTAAGGCTTTACCAGCCTCCCACTTATGTCCCCTGCTGGCCAGGCTGGCAGGAAGCCAGGAGGCAGGGGGCTCAGCCCTGGGAATGGGGCGGAAGTGGGCCCAGGGGGCAGGCTCACTGGTGTTGGGAGGGCCCCACATCCTTTGGCGCCAGTGACCTGTGGTTCACAGCTCAGCCAGCACCTTCCGCCATGCTCCTGACCCCCGCAACCCCCTTCAGAGCCCGGCCACTCTGCAGAGCCCATGCCTGCTTCTGCATCTGAGTCAGGAATGGTGTGAAAACTACTTTATCAGCCCAAGAAGCAGAACCAACAAGAGACAGACATGAGAGATTCACTGTAGGAACTAGCTTCCACTGTGGGGGCCTGGCTGTTGGCGGAGTTTCGTCCAGGGAAGCCTCAGCTGTTCCCCTAGGCATCCCCAGGTCATCGAGGACCATCTCTTTGACTTAAAATCAGCTCAGGCCGAACCTCTGTCACAGCAGTGGCCCCCCAGCAGCCCCCACCAGGGTCTGATTGCCTAACGCTACCATGGCTTCTCCCAGTTGACACATCAGACTGACCATCAGTCTGTTAACTCATCACTCTCTTGGGTCTCTTACTTTGCATGCATTCATGCTCCATCGCTCAGTCATATCCAAATCTTTTGGAACCCCATGGACTGTAGCCTGCCAGGCCCCTCTGTCCATGAGGAGTCTCCAAGCAAGAATACTGGAGTGAGTTGCCATGACCTCCTCCAGGGGATCTTCCCGACTCAGGGAATTGAACCCACATCTCTTACCTCTCCTGCATTGGCAGGTGGAGTCTTTACCCCTGCGCCACCTGGGAAACTCCACTTCTTAAAGAACAGGAGCCTAGCAGGCTACAGTCTATGGGGTCGCAAGAGTCAGACATGACTTAGCGACCAAACTGCAACCACGAAATTGTGTCTAAAGTAATCTATTCTTACTGTAAAACTCTTACTGTAAAACTCCATTACTCTAACTGATCTGAGAAAGACACAGTTCTGATTTTTAAAAATTACATTCAAGAGACTGCCACGCTTGTATGCCATTTCCATACATCAGCTAAAGGGAGAAACTGAATTAGATGCCTCCCTCCTCGGATTTGCAGCAAGGCATGAGGTTTGAAGCCAGCTGACGATCTCGTAAGTGGATTAACCCGCTACTTCCACCGGATTCTCTTTTCTGTGCTTAAAAAAGCATCTCGAGTCTTGTCTTCTCTGTTGCTCCAGGAAGCAAACTGAGCCATGTTCTTTCCTGATTAGAAAAGTTTCCACTTGTTCCCTTTCAGTCGAAAGCTGCTTTTGAGAAAGAGAGTGACGTTCCCCTGAAGAATGAGGAGTTTGAGGTGACCAAAACAGCAGGTAGGTGGAGGAGTTTGTGGAGCTGGAACCAGGTTCTCCAGCAGGGAAGGTGAGAGAGGGGATAAGAACCCCATGAGGGGTCGATCCAGGGGCCACTGGTGAGAGGAGGCCACTATCCTTCCTGTAAAAAGGGCCATCTGGTAAACATTTTCAGCTTTAGGGGCAGACACCCCCCTGTGAAATAACTCGGCCTGCCCCCACAGGGCCAAGGCAGGCATGAACCACTCATCAGTGCATGTGGTGGCTGCATGCTAATGAGACCTTGTTCTGTGAACACTGACATGTGAATGTCATACTACATTCCCGTATCATAAGATGCGGTTTTCCCTTTGATTTCTGTTTATAAACGTAGAAGCCACTTTTTGCTTACAGGCGGCAGGCACGCTTGGCCTGTCCCTTGCAGAGAATAGAGGGTGTGAAAGTCTGCTCAGCTCCACAGTGGGGTGTGGGGGAGGGGGTGTCCTGGGCCCTGTGACAGGTTCAGGCATCGAAAAGTTGGGACCTTGTGTGTGCCATGTGACGGGAGAGGCAGGGGGTCACGTCCTGAGGCTCCGAGACCCCTGTGGCCTCTGACCCCTGTTCAGCTACAGCCATGCAGGCCAAATGCAGAGCAGAAAGAGTAGGTGCTAGAGTTGGGGCTCGGAAGGATGAGAGCAATGGGGGATGAGTGAGTGAGACAGTGGATGTGGAGTTGAGCTAAGTCAGGGAGCCTGAGAGTCCTGAGGGACAGGGGAGAAGTAAGATGAGGAACCCATGTGGCCACGGGTGTCACCAGGCACCAAAGTGGAAAGTGGGAGGGGAGGGAAGGTGGTAGTGTGATTGGGGGTTTTAGGAGGGCCTGGAAGGAGGCCCGCCCTGCCCTCAGGTCCTCCAGGTCAAGGGCCTGTTCTGAGTGTAGATCAAGGACAGAGGGGCCTAGGATGCTGGCAGACCCTGAGCCCCGGGGAGTGCCATGGGGAGGATAGACAGGGAGTGGGAGACAGGCTGGGGCTGCAGAGCAGGGCACGGCCAGACAAGTTTGCCAGGGCAAACCTCCGACCCTCTGCTATTCTCAGCGTGGCAGAAGCGATTACAGCTCTTCCCACCTCAGCCTCTCCCGTGGCCTCTCGTTGCCCTCCAGACAGGCCCTCGACTTCCCCACCTTTCCCCTGTCCGTCACCCATGAGCCTCTCAGGACCAGGAGCCTTTCCTTACGGAGTCCACTTGGAGGCCCCTCCCCTGCCCTGCCCCCATCGTTGCCCCCACCCCACCCCCCAACTCAGGACCCAGAGGTCTTGCAGAGGCGAGCACCAACCCAGGGTCTCTTCCTTTGCAGTGTCCCACAGGCCTGGGGCCTTCAAGGCTGAGCTGTCCAAGCTGGTGATTGTGGCCAAGGCAACACGCAGCGAACTGTGACCCGAAGCCCCTCTTGAGGGCGGCTCCTCTCCACGCAAGGTGCTGGACCCCAAGAGGGCCCAGTACTTGTTTTCTAGGTGGGATTGGGGGTCTCTTGGTTTTCTGTCCCAGCTGATGTTGCCCCATTTGGAGGACAGCTAAGGCCCCAGAGTGGAGTCTGGAGGGCTAGGACTCACCTGGCTCCCACCTTCCCTCACCCCGAAGATTGTGGGTCTGAGACCCACAGCTCTTCTCATCAGAAGAGGCATCAGGACACATGGTGGGGGGCCGGGGGGGCGTCTCCCGGAATCATGGCTTTTCTGAAGCCAGGGCATCCCCTCCTCCCCGCTGGGATCAGGCCAGGCTCCAGGATGTTCTGCAGGGGAGCCCCCCGCCGCCTGTGATCCCACACCAGCCACCTTCTCACTCCCCAGGGGACCAACTTTCAGACTGGGCAGAAATGAAATGTTCTTTCATATTTAAATAAATAAGACAACTAAAAAGCACCCACAGTCTTGGCGTCTGGCGCTGGTGCCTCCCCACTGACGGGGCTTGCAGGGCCGGGGTCCCCTACTTTCCTTTGCTGCTGAAGACGGGCGAACTGAGTCACCCCCGGGCAGAGGGAACCTCCTGGCAGGACTTTCCTGCAGGCGCAGACGTGCCGGACCCGAGGCAGCCTCAACAAGCCTCACATGGCCTCACCTGTGGGGCCACTCCTAGCCGAAGAGGAACGCACTGGGGAAGCCTGGCTCTTTTTATTTTTGGCATGGCATGTGGGATCTTACTTTCCCAACCAGGGATTGAACCAGCGTCCCCTGCTTTGGATGTGTGGAGTCTTAACCACTAGACCACCAGGGAAGTTCCCAGACCAACTGTTCTGCACCCTATAGTTGGCTTTGCTAATTTTTTTGAAGCTGGATTGCAAACTCGGTGACTTAAAAAAAATAATGAAACACCCACAGGCAAACAAAAATAAATAAATGAAATCCCCAAGTGCCTCAGCCAGCCCTAGCAGCAGGGCCTGGGAGTCTGACCCCCAGTGGACTGTCTGCCTGGTCTCTGACCAGGAGGAAAGAAACCTGTGGCTATGAATTGGGTCCTTGATGATCAGAATCACCACACGTTGGGCTGGCTGAGGCCTCTCTGTGTCTGTCACTCACCTGGCCCGCCCCTCGTGCGATCAAGGAGTCAGGTGCTGCTGGAACCCCGCCAGCCAGAGAAGAAGCCGGCTGACCAAGGGCATGGGGTCCAGCCCCAGGGCTCCAGCGCTACTGGTGTAGGAGCCATTCCAAGGGAGGCGCAAGCAAGAAAAACAGCTGTGCTCAGAACCAGTAATACCTGATAGGGACCTTGGGCCCACAGGACTTGAGGAAAGAACCAGCAGCCTCAGCGATCAAGTGCACACGACCTGTACCTCTTCAGGAGCAGCTCTTTTTTTGTTCAGTTGCTCAGTTATGTCCGACTCCATGTTCCACAGCATGACAGGCTTCTCTGTCCTTCACCATCTCCTGGAGCTTGTTCAAACTCCCGTCTGTTGATTCGGTGATGCCATCCAACCATCTTGTCCTCTGTCCTGTCGCCCCCTGGACAGCACACAAGTCCAGAGCAGCTCTGGACGCACACATGTCCTAGGGGACGCTCACTCCACCGAGCATGGCAACCTGCAGGTCTCAACAGGGCCCGGGAGATGCTTGCCCGGGGCTGCCTGCAGAAACTAGGCAGCGGGACACAGGCAGAGGCAGTGGTGCTCCCTGGGCCCTGAGCTGCGTGAGGGCTAGACCCCAGCCAAGAGGAATATTGATTTTTGTATAGTCAGTTGGGAATCACTTACCACTTCCACATCCTGAGTGCTGGCAGAGATGCAGAGTGGTGGGCGTGATGTAGCGGGTCAGGGCAGAGCATCTCTGGACACAAAGAAGCCTCCCCTTTACTCCAAGGGCCTGGTGAGCAGAGCCGCCTGGCCCCAGGTCACGATGAGGAGCAGGACCGAGCCACCTCTGGGCTGCCAAAGCCAAGCTCTGCCACCACTGCTAGGCTGTCATCAAGCTCAGCAGGAATAAAGCCTGCCAGCAGGCTGCAAACCTATAACATTTGTGTGCAACCTGGAGTTGTTTTCTATTTTATTTTGGCTGTGCTGAGTCTTCATTGCCACGCTCAAGCTTAAGTTGCCCCATAGCAGGTGGGATCTTAGTTCCTGGACCGCGGATGGAGGCTGTGTCCCCTGCATTGGAAGGCAGATTCTCAACCACTGGACCACCAGGGAAGACCCCAACCTTGATTTTTGATAGGTAGAAACCCTGGGCAGGTGAGAAAAAGCTCTAAGATGCTTTAATTTACATAGTTCTCTTTGGTTCTTTTTTTAAAAATTCATTTTATTTATTTGGCTGCACCAGGTCTTTGTTGTGGCATGTGGGATCTAGTACCCTGACCAGGGATTGAACCCGGGCCCCCTGCATTGGAAGGGTGGAGTCTTAGCCACTGGACCACCAGGGAAGTTCTGGTCCTTTTTTTTTTTTTTTCTAAATTAAATCTCAAATGTATGAAAAGAGTCAAGACAACAAGTCCAAAGCCTTGTCACATGAATGTCCTTCAGCCAGCAGAGCAGAGGGCAAAGGATTTTATCTGGAGCTTCTCAGTATAATCAAAATACACGTTTGTTCTTGAATTGGAGGATCTGTCTCTTGGCACACAAGAAGAGGGGAAGTTTGCTTTGGAAGTGGAAGGTAGGGGAACAGCTGACTATTGGGTGGAAGTCTTTGGCTTTTTCAAGGCAGCTGAAACCAAACAGAAATGCTGCCCTGGATCTGAGGTCCTAATCTACCAGCCAGCCCAGCATGCCATGGAGAGGCCAAAGGGAGTGGTGAGGACTGTGGCGGAGCAAAGACGGGCCACCTCTGCAGCTTCACCAGTGGGCAGTGCAGGTAGGTTTTCTAGAGTTTTCATGATCTATTGATAGATTGGGACATGCAATCTCCTTGGTTTCAGGTGTTGGCAACTAATTCCAAATGTTTCAAACAATGAATGAGGCTAAGCAAACCCATCGTCTCACCTAATATGGCCTGCGGACCTCCTGTTGGCAACATTTCCCCTAAACAGACCAGGTTCCACAGAAATGGACACTGTTCCTCCCTCCCCCCAGGGTGCTCAAAACAACCTGACACAGCCAGACCTGCAGCGGGGTTTTGCAATCTTTTAAAACCTATGCCCACTTCTGACCAACAAATTGCAAATACACCCCCCCCACACCCCCACGTGTCCATCCATGCCCCAAGTTAAGCATTGTCCCACCTGCCGGGTGTTGCCAAAGCCAAGGTTTGTTGAGCTTTGTCTCTGAGGCTTGTCTTATAAAAACAAGTATTTATGTGTACTTGTTTCCCAAATATGAAATGATCCTTTAAAAACAGGCATGTGTCTAAGATGGCTTTCCCGACGGCCTCCCATCAGAGGTGCCCTCCGACCCCTCCCTTCTGGGAGTCAGGGCCACGATGCCAAGCAGACAGAGGGGCATCCTCGCCAGTAGGCCTGAGCCCACCACAGCTCTCACCGCGGCTCCCTGGCCTTATTTCCTGAGATGTGGAGCAAAGTGCCCAGCCTGGGAGACTGAGACAACGGCAGCTTGTTTGCTCAGCTCAGAAGGCCCAACATCAAGGTGTGGGCCGGGCTGGTGTCCCAGGCTCTCTCCCAGCTTCTGGTGCTGGCTTGCAGCTCTTGGCATTCCTTGTCTTGTAGATACATCTGCCCAGTCTCTGCCTCCACCTTCACATAGCATTCTCCCTCTGAGCCTGTCTCCACATGTCCCCTTCTCAAAAGGACCCAGTCATGTGGATTAGGGGCCGCCCAGCTCCAATATGAACTCATTGCAACCAATCACATCAGCAATCACCCTATTTTCAGATCAGGTCATATTCACAGGTCCCAGGGGTTAGGACTTCCATCTGGGAAATGGGAGGTGGGGTAGGGTGAGACAGCTCACTCTGTAACACCCCCTCCTGGTTCCCTGTGACCCTCTCTGCGGGAATGAAAAAGCCCAAGCAACACTTAAGTGAGAAGCCCCCAGCTGTCAGAGACACCCAGTGATTTGAGGGGTACAGACAGTGGCTCAAGGGGCATTGTTCAGATGGTGCCACAGCAGGCAGAGGTCTCCAGGTGCCTGGGGGAGGCCGCAGGCACAGGCAGACTGAGCCAGGCTCCGAGCCCGGTGAGATTGGGCCCGAGGACAGGGGACCCAGGTCCTTGGAGCTGCAGTCACCGGTGTGTATGTGTTGGAGGAGGGGTGATTGGCCAGAGTCAGACAGGAAGGAACGGGTTAGCTCCGCTCCACTTCGAGCCCCGCCCCCCCTCCCCGCAGGCAGCCGCAGCGGGGTTGGAGGTCATCATATGCTGTCCTCATCCAGCATCCGGGTGAGGCCGTCGCAGATCCGGCGCAGGTGGGAGCGGTAGGGCTCCACAGGGCTGTAGAGCGCCGCCAGGAAGTCGCAGTCGGCCAGGTGGCCGAACACGTGGTTGATGCGGCCGTGGGACTATATGTGTTGGAGGAGGGGTGATTGGCCAGAGTCAGACAGGAAGGAACGGGTTAGCTCCGCTCCACTTCGAGCCCCGCCCCCCCTCCCCGCAGGCAACCGCAGCGGGGTCGGAGGTCATCATATGCTGTCCTCATCCAGCATCCGGGTGAGGCCGTCGCAGATCCGTCGCAGGTGGGAGCGGTAGGGCTCCACGGGGCTGTAGAGCGCCGCCAGGAAGTCGCAGTCGGCCAGGTGGCCGAACACGTGGTTGATGCGGCCGTGGGACTTGGCGGTTAGGTGCGTGCCGGCCGCCTGGTGCAGCAGGTCCCGGCACTCAAGCAGGGCGGCGGCCAGCACGCGCCTGTCGAAGGTGAAGTCCACCTGGTGGAAGCTGACAGCGGTCATGGCCAGGCGGCGCGCCTGCTGCCGCAAGCGCTGTAGCCGCGCCAGCTCCTCGGAGCCCAGCTGCCCGGCGCGCAGCAGAACGCCCAGCTTCACTGCCACCTTGACCAGGTTCTTGACCAGCTTCTGGGCCTCCTTGCGGCTGCGGGTGAACTCCTTGGTGGCGCGGTACAGCTCGTCCAGCACCTCGCTGCTGGTGTCGTCGATGAAGGCGGACGCCACTGCCCGGGAGGCCATCTTGCTCAGGAGCTTCTTCTGGGCCTGGAGGGCCAGGCTCTTGGTGCTGAAGGTGTCCATCTGTCCTGTGGGGGGAGACACACAGACCCGCCGTCAGCCCGCGGTGCCCAGCTGTGGGGGCCTTGCAGGGGCGGGCGGCTAATGCTGGCGACCTCTGTCTTCCGCATGGGAGAAATGGGCACGCACGCCACCAGCCTATCCCCAGGGGAGCCCATGTGCCCACTCCACAGACGTACTGGGTGCGCAGAGCTGACCTCGAGACCCTTCCACCCCCACCCCCAGCCCCCCTCCACCAAACAGCAAGTGCCGCCATCGGAGATGCTGCAAGAGCCCTTAGCAGGGACTCCTGAGCAGATCAAGAAGGCCCAGGAAGGCCCTGGGCAAGAGGACAGGTAACAAGATGGGGAGGGAATCATAGGCTCCAAGGCCTAGGGAAGGGAAATTCAGAGTTGTTGGAGGACCTGATGCAGAAACTTATGAACAAATAGCAAAACCTATTTTTAGGAAAAGCTTGTAAAAACAAACAACATTCACACTGAAGATATGATGGGACCTAAGGGAATTTGTTTCTTAAAGGAATTAATGTGTAGTGGTGAAATCTGGGCAGGGCCTTCTGTTATGGTTTATTACAGAATATAGATCCCTGTGTTATACCCTAGGACCTGTGGTTTAGCCATTTCTGTAAACAATACTTTGCACCTGCTAATCCCAAACTCCCAACTAATCCCAGACTTGCAACTGCAAGTCTGTTGTCTATGTCTTTATTTTTGGCTGTTGTGGGTCTTTGTTGCTGTGTGGGCTTTCTCTAATTGTAGAAGGTGGGGGCTACTCTCTAGTTTTGGATCGAGGACTTCTCATTGTGGTGGCTTCTCTCCTTTCTGAGCTTGGGCTCTAGGCGCATAGGCTTCAGTAGTTGTGACAGACAGGCTTAGTTGTTCCGTGGCATGTGGGATCTTCCAAGATCAGGTATTGAACCTGCGTCTCCTGCACTGGCAGGCAGATTCTTAAACTGCGCCACCAGGAAGTCCTGTTCTCTATGTCTGTGGGTCTGTTTCTGTTTCATTCAGTTCGGTTCAGTCACTCACTTATGTCCGATCTTTGCAACCCCATGGACTGCAGCACTGCCAGGCTTCCCTGTCCATCACCAACTCCCAGAGCTTGCTCAGACTCTTGTCCATCGAGCTGATGATGCCATCCAACCATCTCATCCTCCGTCGTCCCCTTCTCCTGCCTTCAGTCTTTCCCAGCATCAGGGTCTTTTCCAGTGAGTCAGTTCTTGCAACAGGTGGCCAAAGTACTGGAGCTTCAGCTTCAGTATCAGTCCTTCCAAAGAATATTCAGGACTGATTTCCTTTAGGATGGACTGGTTGGATCTTCTTGCAGTCCAAGGGACTCTCAAGAGTCTTCTCCAACACCACAGTTCAAAAGGCGCTCAGCTTTCTTTATAGTCCAACTCTCACATCCATACATGACCACTGGAAAAACCATAGCTTTGACTAGACAGATCTTTGTTGGCAAAGTAATGTCTCTGCTTTTTAATATGCTGTCTAGGTTGGTCATAGGTTTTCTTCCAAGGAGCAAGCATCTTTTAATTTCATGGCTGCAGTCGCTATCTGGAGTGATTTTGGAGCCCCCAAAATAAAGTCTGTCACTGTTTCCATGTTCGCCATCTGTTTGCCATGAAGTGATGGNGTAGTTTGAACATTCTTTGGCATTGCCTTTCTTTGGGATTGCAATGAAAACTGATCTTTTCCAGTCCTGTGACCACTGCTGAGTTTTCCAAATTTGCTGGCATATTGAGTGCAGCGCTTTCATAGCATCATCTTTCAGGATTTGAAATAGCTCAACTGGAATTCCATCACCTCCACTAGCTTTGTTTGTAATGATGCTTCCTAAGTCCCACTTGACTTCGCATTCCAGGATGTCTGGCTCTAGGTGAGTGATCACACCATCGTGGTTATCTGGGTCATAAAGATCTTTTTTGTATAGCTCTCTTGTGTATTCTTGCCACCTCTTCTTAATATCTTCTGCTTCTGTTAGGTCCATACCAGATCTGTCCTTTTTTGTGCCCATCTTTGCATGAAATGTTCCCTTGGTATCTCTAAATGTTCCTTTGGTATCTCTGTTTCGTAGATAAGTTCATTTGTGCCATACTTTAGGTTCCACATATAAGTGATATCATATATGGTATTTGTCTTTCTCTGACTTAGTCCTCTTAGTATGAGAATCTCTGGGTCCGTCCATGTTGCTGCATATGGCATTATTTCATTCTTTTTATGGCTGAATGGTAGTCCATTATATATATATACACACCACATCTTTATCCACTCATCTGTTGATGGACATTTAGGTTGCTCCCATGTCCTGGCTATTGTAAATAGTGCTGCTATTAACATAGGAGTGCACGTATCTTTCTGAGTTAGAGTTTTGTCCAGGTATATGCCCAGGAGTGGGATTGCTAGATCATCTGGCAGTGCTCTTTTTAGGTTTTTGAGGACCCTGCATACTGTTCTCCATAGTGACTGCACCAATTTCCATTTCCACTAATAGTATGAAAGGGTTCCCTTTTCTCCACACCCTGTCCAGCATTTGTTATTTATAGACTTTTTAACGATGGCCATTCTAAGAGGATGACAGAGGATGAGTTGGTTGGATGGCACCACCGACTCAATGGACATGAGTTTGAGTAAGCTCTGGGAGTTGGTGATGGACAGAGAAGCCTGGCGTGCTGCAGTCTATGGGGTCACCAAGAGTTGGACACGACTGAGCAACTGAACTGAACTAAGAGGTGTGGGGTGATACCTCACTGTAGTTTTGATTTGCATTTCTCTTCTATTAGTGATGTTAAGCATCTTTTCTTGTGCCTATTGGCCATCTGTATGTCTTTGAAGAAATGTCTATTTAGGTCTGTCCATTTTCTGATTGGGATGTTTGTTTTTTCTGTTACTGAGTTGTATGAACTGACTATATATTTTGGATATTAATGAGTAGGGCTTTCTGAATCCCACTACGTGTGGGCCCTGGCTCCAGCCTCGCAAACCCACTGTAGCCTTGCTCTGAGCTGAGAAGGGCTCAGGCTGCGTGAGCACAGGGGGTCCTGGCCTCACTCCACAGCTCCAGGAGACAGGGTCCCAGCCCCCGCCTCAGGCTGTTCAGGGTGGGGGAGGAGCGCAGTTAGCAGCCCCCCATCTCCCCAGCCCCATGAGTTTACAGCAGACACCCCTGAGGCCTTAGTCTGGCCCTAGATGAGTCAGGGGGGCAGCAGCTGGGTGGGGGTTCCCCAGGGCCATTTGTGGGGTTTTTGGGAAGCACAGTGTTCTGATGACTCCTCTGATACAGAAACACTGACATGCATCAGCTTCCGCCCAGGAAAGGACTGGGCAGGTGGCCGAGGTGAGTGGCAGGCTGGTGCTCCTGGAACAGCAACCACGCCTCCGACTGCAGAAGCCTGGACCTCTGCCTGTCCCTTATGTCCTTCCTGCCATGGCCATCTTCCAGATTTCCCAGGCTCTGAAGCCTCCCCCTCAGCACCAGAATTCTTCCTAAATTGCACATCTGGGCATAGTCCTTTCCTTCTAAGAACCAGCTGGAAGCTCCTCACGGCTCTTGAGACCAAACCCCACACTCCATTTGGGTCCCTGCCTCTTCCCTGGTGAACTCCTATACATCCCTCAATACCTTAGCCCCCAAACCCCTGCCTCTTCCTTGGTGGACTCATATATATGCCCCAAAGCCCTGGCCTCCAAGCCCCTGCCTCTTCCCCTGGCAGCTTCATCCCTCAGCTCAGCCTGAACACCACCTCTGGGAAGCCATCCCTGAACAGCCAAACTGACAGTGAGGCACCTCCTATGAGTCACCCAGCACCCCAGGCATCCCCCATCCCTGCTCCACACTCTGGCTTTGCTGCCTCAGTGGTCTGCGTCACCACAGGCCCCAGGGGAGATAATGGCCTGATTCCCTATCCACTCTGTTTCTGGAGACTCCAGAAGCATCTGCCCAATGAATGAGGGAGCCTGAGGCCCACCCCCAGCCCTCCCCCACTGCTGCCCCAGGCTCTGGTCAGAATCCACCGCCACCCCAGCTGCAGGCCAGCCAGACCAGGAATGCCATGTGGGTGCCCACTCAGCCATGGGAGCCCCCACAAAGCCCCTCTTTGTGTGAGCTCAGACGCTGGGAGGAGTCCCAACCCTCAGCCGCCCTCTTGCTGCCCACAGAGGTCAGGACAGGCCTGGTGATGAATGACCCGGGCCTCCCTGCCCCCTACACCAGTCCCAGACCCTGTCCACAGGCTGGGGCCGGAGCGGGATGCGGGTGACTCAGCATCACATGGCAGGCCCTGAGCAGTGGCCGGTGCCTATTTCATCACTTCTGCCTGATGTTGTACTGAGCTGGCTGCCCATTTGCAGAATGGCTCAGACCAGGCTCAGAGAGGCTTAGCCATTTCCCCAAGGCCACACAGCAACACAGGGACCGCCTGCCCCACCCTCTCTGCACCCCAGCTACCTCTGCCTTCCCTAGCTGATGCCTGGGAGTCACCCTCAGTCTTGGGGGGCTGGGAGATATCCCCCGTGACAAAACCAGCCCTGATATCTGGGGCTTGCTCCTGGCTCTGACCACATGGCCAAGCAACATAACTGCCCTATGCCTCAGTTTCCCCATCTGTAAAATGGAGGATGGTGACTGTCAAGATGGAGAACTGACTCCATCTCAGGACAGAAACTTGTGGCCAACCTGAGGGCCCCCCAGGCTGTGAGATTTCCCTGTGCAAGAGGCTGGACCACTGTCCCAACTTCTGACCTTCAGGCTCTGTGTCCTGTAGCTCTTTGAACAGACCTATTTCTCCGCTATGTTCTCAGCAAGGATGCCGTCTCACCAATTTCTCTAGAACATTCTATTCTTTATTTTTCTTTTTGGTCACACTAGGTGGCATATGGGATCTTAGTTTCCCAACCTGGATCAAATCCATACCCCCTGCATTGGAAGCACAGAGTCTTAACCACTGGACCGCCAGGGAAGTCCCTAGGGCATTCTATTCTGTTCCCTCTATGTGGACCCCTCCTGGTCT